TGGTATTTCAGTTGTGCTGTAAAGCTCCACTTATTCTACAGCTGTAGAATAAGTGGAGTAGCTGTAGAATAAGTGGAGCTTGAGTGAAGCGCAACAGTTCTTCTTGGGACTGGTGGTTTAAAGTTTAAACATAATCGAAACAGACAATACATGGCTGCGCTAACAGCTGAGTGGACGAGCGCAAAACCCCAAAATGGTCCGTATTAGCCTGGTAGGGGCTGCAAGCAGCCTTGGATCTGGCATGCCAGCACCGGCCACAGTGTCGTGCTCCTCGCTTTGGGGCTGCTGCCCTCCACCACCGCGCACGGATCAGACACACTCGAAGCGTCAATCTGTGAGCTACTTGGACGAGGCGGATGGCGGCCCCTGACACAGGTAGGATCCGCTGTGTACTGCGCAGCGCGTTGATCAAAGGTCACTCCTCTTCTCAAAAGCGTTGATATGACCCCGAAAGCTCACCGCGGCGCATTGGCCTCCACCCGCGGGCCCCAACAAAGGTGGGGGCCATTCAGCCCCCAAATAGCCATTGATTTGTTTTCTGCAACATCTGGGGGGCTGTTGATCAACGGACATCAACAGCCAAAATCTCGCGAGCTTGTCTTGCTGTTGCAAGCCCACCCAAGGAACACTGGGCATTTGAATATTTCCCTGGGCGGCTGCCATCGCGACAACACGGCTCACATCGTCGTCACCCCCATCGCCTGACCTTTACTGCATGCAGCCACCCTGATCGGACGCTGACAAAGGAGGTACGTTTGTTTCTTCTTCTGCTGCTTCTTGCTCTTCCTCTTCTTTCTTCTTCTCTTCTTTTTTCTTCTTTTTCATTTTCAGTTCTGCAACTTCTGCTTCATCTTTTTCATATTCATTTTCTTCTTCTTCTTCTTCTTCTGTTCTTCTTCTTCTTCTTGCTCTTCCTCTTCTGTCTTCTTCTCTTTTTTTTTCTTCTTCTTCTTCTTCTTCTTTGTTTTTTAAGGAGAGGTTAATTTTTCTTCTTCTTCTTCTTCTTCTTCTTCTTCTTCCTTAGGGACATCCGATAAAATTGGAACGACACAGAGAAGATTAGCATGGCCCCTGCGCAAGGATGACACGCATAAATCGAGAAATGGTCCAAATTAAAAAATAATAATAAAAAAATAAAATCCAAAGGCAAATACGAGGCCGGGGACCTCACAATCCACCCGGGGTTATTCATTTTCAGTTCTGCTTCTTCTTTTTCATTTTCCATACTTCTTCTTCTTCTTCTTCTTCTTCTTCTTCTTCTTCTTCTTCTTCTTCTTCTTCTTCATCATCTGGACTGTTTGAGAAATTGACACACGTTGTGGGAAATCAAGATGGGAAACTCAGTCCTCTGTTTGTCTGTGTGTTTTGTGTCTTCTGCCTGTGTATTGGTTTGGTCGGTTTTTGCAGCCTGTCTCTGTGTTGCCAATTCAATGTGCCTTCATGTTCATCTGTCTTCCGTCTGCCGAACTGTTTGTCTCTGCTGCATGTCTGCATGCAGTCCTCTGTCTGCCTGTGTGCATCGGCTTCAGCATGCAAACACAGCAGGCAGCCTGCAGGCTCATTGCGTAGACAAAGGCAGGGACCTGTGCTCTGCACATATGTAGCAGACCAAATTTTGCAAGTGCAGCAGCAGACTGCATCTTCGGTGGTGGAAAAAGTTACACATTCCAGAATCCATATTCCAATCAACCTGTTTTGCTCGTGTTCAGTTATAACTTATTTCCACCGACCTGACGGAGTGTACGGTGTACCCATCTTTGTTTTCTTTTGCAGCTTGGCGAGATCTTGCGTACAATTGAGCGGGAGCTTGGGCTTCCAATGGAATGGATGCGGCAGAAGCATTGTAAGGTAGGTAGGGCTCCTTTTTTTTTTTTTTTTTTTTTTTTTTTTAGGTAGGGCGCATGGGATGATAAGGGGTACCAACTGTGATTGATTTTTTTTGTTATGAACGTCAGGTCATCAACGATTCGAGAAACAGCGGTGGTGGTCCGGGCGGTTCACAGACTGCTTCCTTATTATTTAAGGCGTAGAACATTAAAAAAATAGCGCCAAGAGAGAACAAAGCTAAAGGACGATAAAAAGGACATCATGACTAGTATAATAGACATGGAAGTCGGTCAGAGCGACTTCATCATGTCGAAATTGGGAGATGCTGTTTATTTTATTTCTCTCTATCAAATGATGATTGATCTACCGTCTTCACCCGAATAGAACGGCCGGTCATTATAGCTGTATTCGGCACAACTTTCGGTCCAGATGCGGTTCCAAGAGAGAAAAAATCGAAAGGACGATAAAAAGGACGTCATAACTCATGGAAGTCCGTCAGAGTGACTTTATCATGTCGAAATTGGAAGATCCTGTTTATTTTATTTATCTCTATCAAATGATGATTGATCTACCGTCTTCACTCGAATAGAACGCCCGGTCATTATAGCTGTATTTGGCACAATTTTCGGTCCAGATGCAGCGATAATGACCGGGCGTTCTATTCGGGTGAAGACGGTAGTCAAATTGTATGAGGCCCTAGCTCCGTTGGAAGGAGCCACAGGAAGTTAAGGATCTGGGGGATGGCGGCGGCGCGGAAAGCAGATGTGAAAACAATGGGAGAAGTGGAGTGGTGGCTGCCCACCCAAGAAAGAAACTCTGTCACTCGCATCAGTCCAGACTGAACTCCTGCTTGTCCATGTGACATATGCGTGCCCCAGCGTTCTCTAGATACACAGTTAGACCACCAGTACTTGGGCCAGCTATTGGCCGTGGGAAAAATTAGACTACAAACATTTCTAGTCGGACGAATTTGGGCGCTCCTGTAGTGGCAGCTACGTTTCCTAAAATCGTGGCTTGTTAACGGGCATGACTTTAGGAAGTACTGGTGGTTTAAGAACGCGTTAGTAGATAACGGCTATGTGGCGTGCATGATGCCTGAGAAAAGGGAGAAAGCAGAGGAAAGAGATCCAGGGGAGGAAACAGATTTAACACAGGCAGTTCCACCCCACTTCAAGAAACTGGCTGAGGGAAGAATTGAGAGGCCGGTCAAGCAGCATATTGAGATAGAGCCAGGCAGCAAGAACCCCAAGGGTCCAACTTATAAGATGGGACCGCACAAACCAGAAGAGTTAAGAAAACAGATTCAACCGCACAAACCAGAAGAGTTAAGAAAACAGATTCAAGAGTTTGTAGACAACAAGGGTGGATTAAGCCAGGGTCGTCGCCCTACGGCTTGCCCGTTTTGTTGATCCCAAAGAAAGAAGGAGAACTGAGACTGTGTATAGGCTACAAGGGTGAAAATGCTATCACGGTGGAGAATGCAGAACCACTACCCTTGATAGACAAACTGGTGGATAGGCCACAGGGTTGTAAGCATTTTCTGAGGTAGACTTGAAGGTCGGGGTACCATCAAATCGAAATGCCCTCGAAGATCACCACCACAAGACCGCGTTCTGGACAAGGTGCGGTCACTAGAGTTCAGCATGATGCCTTCGATCTGACAGACAAATGCCTCTGCTCCCTTCTATTTTCTGAGATAGACTTGGGTACAAAATGTCGCAGGTTCGAATCCTGTCATCCCTATTTTAGTTATTTTTTTTCTTACTTTTCGATTTCAATGGTTTTTAAAAACACTTACTTCACTAGTCTCTATTGATTCTTGAAAAATACTTGTTTAGTTAAGGTTCTCAATATGAAAATGCCCTCGAAGATCACCACCACAAGACCGCATCTGGGACAAGGTGCGGTCACTAGAGTTCACGGTGATGCCTTCGATCTGACAGACAAATGCCCCTGCTACCTTCTATTTTCTGAAATAGACTTAAAAAGTCGGGGTACCAAACCGTACCATCAAATCGAAATGCCCTCGAAGATCACCACCACAAGACCGCATCGGGGACAAGGTGCGGTCACTAGAGTTCAGTGTGATGCCTTTGATCTGACAGACAAATGCCGCTGCTACGTTCTATTTTCTGAGATAGACTTAAAAAGTCGGGGTACCATCAAATTGAAATGCCCTCGAAGATCACCACAACAAGGCCGCATTCGGGACAAGGTGTCGTCACTAGAGTTCATGGTGATGCCTTCGATCTGACAGACAAATGCCCCTGCTCCCTTCCAGCTCTGTATGAATGACAAGACCTATACTAGCTCATTGCACTTCTACACATGGCCAGGAATGAAATCAGACTGCTGCATCACATATGTCGAGGACTGTGAAGTATGCCACCAAAGAAGCAAGACCCCACAACACAGGCCCCACTAGGACTGCCGAGACCACTACCTATCCCCTCTGGACCCAGCGAGTCCGTATCCATATAGACTTCACAAGCACTCAAGTCAAACACAAAAATGGGAATAGTTGAGGCATGTTCCTAGTCAACCAATGTGATCAAATACGCAGAATTTGCTCCTTTTCCAGCAGAAGTTAGAACAGACTTAGTAATCCGTAAGTTCTTCGTGAAGTGGGCCAAGGATGATAACTCTCATGAGTCTCATCCCTTAACCATAGTTAGTGATAGGGACGTGAGGTTCATGGGGGAGCAACTCCTATCGTCAGAGCTCCACCATAGCCAAGGTGGAAGCTCCAGGCCTTCTTCCTCCTCCCAGCGCTGGACTGCCCAGCGCTCTTCCTTCCAGCGGAGTTCTGAGTGCCAACGCCCACTCAAGCAGCATGACGCCCAAACTTGTACACCGCAAATGGGGAGCAATGAAAGTGTATGGATCACCGTCGACCACATCTTCAGCCAGACACCCCCGAGCAGATAAATAATCTGCTTTTGCCGCCGCCGCCAGGGCCTGTTTATTTTCTTTTCTCTAACAAATGATGATTGATCTAGTCAAATTGTACGAGGGCCTAGCTCAGTCGGGACACCCATGAACTGTTGAAATAGAGACCTGAGTCCGAACCTCAATGAGCTCAGATGAGTAAATAACTTTGAATGTACCTGGGGTTGGTCAGTTCCCAAGATGGCATCTTAAGGCCATCGCCCTGTAAAAAGAAAATGAAAAAAAAAATACTAGGCTACCAGAGTGGCACGTGACCACTTGCCCGGCCGGGCCAAAAATATATATATCGTCAAACAGAGCTGCCCGGTAAACTGTAGGCAGAGAGGGAGGGAGAAGAGGACAACAAACAGGGGATGTGACAAACTGTTTCGTTGGAGTTTCTTTTCTTTTTTTTTTTTAGCACCTAATTTTTTTTACTTTTTTTTTATCAGGGCCCAGTGCCCAAGGCGACAATACAATTAAACACAAGTTTCAAATTCAGGGGCCACGAGGCCTCCAACTGCATTCAGGCAGTGGAGCCCGTCCCCTGTGAAAAGGAACCCAAAAAACGACAAAACGGCGATCGAACAAAATAAAATTTCTAAGAAAAAATTATCGATCCTAAAAACAGAAATTGCTAACCCTAACAAAAACGAGAAAACAACAGTAATCAACAAAATCCTGAAAATACGTATGCTGTCTACTGCCTAAGATGGCAGAGAAGCACCACGAGAAGCAATTCCAACAGAAAAAACCTAAAAACCCTTCATAATTCCAACAGAAGTCCCAAAAAAACTAGACAGAAGGGAAAAAAAAAAAAACTTTATACCAAGTAGACAACAAAAAGCAATTCCAACCGAAGTCCAAAAAAAAAAAAAAAAAACCCTAAAAAATCATTTGTAACAAGCGCACACCAACCCCACAAAAGACCCAAGACGTTTTGTAGCAAAAGCTAAGCCAATCCCACAATAACCAGTGAAAGACAAAAGCCATGTCCACCAACAAGCCATCGAGGAACCATAACAACACAAAACCAAATTATTCGTCTACAGTGACCGAGAAAAACAATGAAGTCTCGAAGATCTGTTGTTGTCGAACAGCATTGTACAAAAGGCCTCTCATCTCCAGCGAGTCAGCACGCAGTTTCCCTTGGCAGAGAAAACCAGACGTACGGGAAGCCGCAACTCCCCTGGCCAAGCAACTCGGCGTACAGGAAGAGCAATCCGTGCCGACAAGGAAGTCCTGTCGATCGAAAGACCTCGATAACGTGAGCTTTGTTATTGAGCTCCATATCTGAGATCAGCAGCACGTTGGAGTTTCACCGACTCATCAGGAGGGTGAACCCTAATACATATATATATATATTTTTTATTATTTTAAATTTGGTAAAGAATTTCGACGTGACTCTGAGGCGAAAGTTGTTCGGTTTATTTTTCTGCATTAGATAGTTGTTTTTTCGGTTTTTTTTCATTGGTAAAGAATTTGGATGTGAATTTANTTTTTTTTTTTTTTTTTTTTTTTTGCTAGGACCTTCCCTGGTCCTTGCACGGCCAGGCCACCTGGGAAAATAGGGTGACCAAGGCGGCCTGGCTGGTAGGTAGCCTAGAAAAACAATGTACGAGGGCTCCCTTGCAATACGCGTTGGTGGTTTCGGGTGGAAGGAGACAGTGCGCTCCAAGTGCACTTGAGAGTGCATCAAGCCGCCATCCTGCATTCTGATTGGACGGGTAATGGACTTGGTTGCAGGACATGGGTGGACATGGATGGACCCCTTACTCAGCCCCCTGCCATTTCCGCAAAAACGTACCATCGAATCATGTCAGGGAGTCTCTCCCTCTCCTATGTGTTGTTGGTACTTCTATTACGAAACCGATTATTCCTGGTGTGGAATCTGACGACAAAACTCTTGATCGACGTTCTTTATATGGTATTCCCATTACCCAAGTCGTTCTATGCTTTATTATAGATTAATTAATCGTGGGTTTTGCAGGATTGGCATACCAGGAGACAGCCAACTGACGACTTTCATTTTGCTTTTGTATTGTTTTTTTAATTTTTAATTTATTTAAATACATTTTTGCCACACAGATATACCTGTATGTTGCGACCAAAAGGGTCCTGGGTTGTGTTGCAGCTGAAGCCATCCGTGAAGCTTTTCCCATCCTGACTGAGCAGAATCGGAGTCGTCGTGACCCGGATGGACGTCTACCATCGACACCTGAAAGTGGGCCATCTTCTCATTCCTCGGGAGGACAATCCGCATGCCACACCACGATGATCACGATCCCATCTCGTAACAATGGTGCAGGCTATGATGAGGATGTTAGGTGTTGCCTGGAATCACCTGCATCTGATTATTCTGCGTCTTCTGCAATGGATCTGAACCACGATCGGCAAGAAAGATGCTTCGCACCAATTGGTCGAAAGATTGATGACCAGGACCAATGTGACAGAGAGGCCAGGTTCATGACCTTGGGAAGTGGCATGATGGCGGGGAAAAAACGGGACCTCAATTGGATGGGGGTTGTCGAAAATGAGAGTAGTCCAAAGAGGCAAACGAAGGCGACGGCCATGTTGCGACATTCTCACCTGAGGCATCTGTGCAATGTGAACAAAGCGGCTGAAGATAGCTGTCATGACATGTACACATCTGCAGATTGGAGGCCGCAAGGTGTGAATTGTGAGGAGAAAAGAGGGACTGAGACAGTGGCAGAAGATGGGGTTGAGAAATCTATAGAGGGGGCGATGATGCGTTGTGTCAAATGGGATGTTAGGAAGGATCTGGTGAAGGCGGAGGAGTCATCTGGGAACCGGGCAGCCATCGACAGGTGTAGTATGCAAGGGGATTTTCATGATGATGATGTTCAGCATAGCTTGAAGATCGGTACGGGTATTAAGGGCCACGAGGAACACCACCAAGGTCCTGCAGAAGCGAATGCCTGCCATGGGAGAGGTTGTGGTACCGCACAGTCAGCAATGGCTTTACGTTGCTGCAAGGACAGGGACGGGGATATTCATGATGATGCTGTTCGGTATAGCTTGCAGATTGGCAAGGGCCATGAGGAAGACAACCTAGAATGTCCTGCAGCATTGAATGAGAGAGATGACGGTACCACACGGTCAGCGAAAGAGGGTGGATGTTGTTGCTGCAAGGACGGGGACGGGGATTTTCATGATACTGCTGTTCAGTGTAGCCTACAGATTGGTAAGGGTCATGAGGAAGGCCAGCGGCAAGAAGGTCCTGCAGCAGCAAATGGTTGCCGTGAGAGCGATGACAGTACGACGCGGTCAGCGAAAGAGGGTGGATGTTGCTGCAAGGATAGGGAAGGGGGGGGGTATCATGATGCTGTTCGGTGTAGCTTGAAGATTGGCAAGGGTCATGAGGAAGGCCGGCGGCAAGAAGGTCCTGCAGCAGCAAATGGTGGCCACGAGAGAGATGTCGGTACCACACGGTCAGCAAGAAAGGCTGGATGTTGCTGCAAGGGTAGGGAAGCCGAGGAGGAGGATGAAAATCGCTCTCCAATGTCCTCTGGCAGGTGCAGGTGTCTGCTATGTTCCTCTGACGACGGTTCCCGATCCGGACACGTTGATGACAGGTCAGCAGAAGAAGCCCAGGAAGGTACCAGTGATTCCGAACGTAGGGAGAGAGGGTTCGAGATGGTCGGCGTGAAAGGCCGTGGCGGTCGTAATGCGCACCTGGGGTCAACTGTGAACTGGCACGGTGGGTCGATGTTTCGGAACTCGGGAAGTTCTGGCAGCAAGTCAAAGGCGAATCGTACCCATCATGAACGGGGGTCGCGAGTCGGGAAAGTAATGCGAGCATTGGTTTGCAGCGATACGAGCGTAAAGGCTGTCTGTGGAGTGAGAGCAATTTGGGTATGGCACCGAGCAAGAAGGAAGGGCATCGGCTCCAAGCTTTTAGATGCTGTGAGGTAACCTCTCGTTCTTGTCGTAGCCTGAAGCCATGCGCTGACTGTGAGTATATTACCATGCTGTTGGAACAACCCTGCCAGGAATCGAAGTGGCGAGCTCGGGCTAGACAGCCCGACGACACCTTAACCACTGCAACCGCAACCCCTGCGCTCAGAAGTGTAACTGTACTTGTCATGATATCCACACCACCCCTGCATGGTTGTGCAAGGAAAATGAGCGATAGCGGATTCCAGAAACCAAGCAGCATCATACACATGAAACCAGATAGTCTTGACCTCGAACCAAAAACAGATTTATTTTTTTATTTTTTTATTTTTTTGAGACGATGCTCCAAAATCTATTCGTGGGGAGCAACACGGCTGGGAACCGGGCCCAAAAACAGAATTGCAACTTGAGTTCCACCAAATAAGAGCACAGCAGAAGATCGCAAGTGACAATGTTGGAATAGTCTCATCATCATCAACAATGAACCAATGTCGATTCCCTATCTGGCGCTCAGCGCGCAGACTACAAATGGCAGATCCTATCTAGCCTATCTACAATGCCGCTGGTGACGTCAACAGCTTCCCGAAGTACGAGCAGATCTCGGCCAATGCCGTTCGCCTCAAGCACCAGGTATGTCTCACGCTTCACTCACAACCTCAATCCCCCACACAGATGCCACGTGCACCCAAGAACCACCATGCGCCCCATCCAGCAATGCGCAGGCCAGCTTGGCTATGGCTAGTCGTGGGCTCCCTGGCTGGCCTGGGCCTCCCCCAAGAAGCTTCCAGTAGGCTCCAAGTGGCTGAGCCCCTGTCCCAGGGAATCTTCCACAGGGCCTGGGGAGGTTACCCGTGTCCAACTACCCAGTCGGCCTGTGTTCAGTTCATGCCCTGTGTCGGGTCCAGGGCCTGTGTGGCATACTGCGTAGCCACACGGGCCCTACAGGGCCCGTCCCAGACAGTCAGCCTAAAAGCCTAAAACTTAGGGCTTACAGGCCCCGGAGAC